GCGAAAAGAGCAGCAACAAACATGGATGTACAAGTGTCACTGCAATAGGATGAGCTCTTTGGGTATATGCTAAGGAGTGGTATAACTGGGTCAAATGGTAGGTTCATCTGCAGTTTTTTAAGAGTTCTCCACACAGCTTTCCATAGGGTTTGAACAAGTTTGCAGCCCCATCAGCAGTGAATGAGTGGTTCCCCTTTCCCCACATCCATTCCAAAACTTGTTATCATTTGTTCTCTTGATCTTAGCCAGTCTGATGGGGATAAGACGAAATCTTAAAGTGGTTTTAATTTGCATTTCCCTAATTATTAGTGATGTTGAACATCTTTTAAGATGCTTCACAGCCATCTTTACTTCTTTTGAGAACTCTGTTGAGCTCCTTAACCCATCTTTTAATTGGGTTACTTCTTGTCTTGATTCTTTTTTAGTTCATTATATATTGTAGATATTAAACCTGTCAGATGTGTCACTGGTGAAGATTTTCTCCCATTCTGTGGGTTTTCTGTTTGCTTTCCTGGTTGCCTCCTTTGATGTACAGAAGCTTTTTGTTAAATGAGGTCCCATTTGTTAATTCTTGGCCTTGTTTACTGAGCAATTGATGTCCCGTTTAGAAAGTCCTTTCCTACACCTATAACTTGTAGGTTTTTCCCAATGTTTTCTTCTAACAGTTTCAGAGTTTCAGGCTTTACATTGAGGTCTTTGATCCATTTGGAATTGACTTTGGTGCAGGGTGAAAGATTGGGGTTTAGTTTCATTCTTCTACAAGTGGAGATCCAGTTTTGTCAGTACCATTTGCTGAACATGCTGTCTTTTCTCCAAAGAATATTCTTGGTCCCTTTGTCAAATATCAAGTGGCTGAAATTGCATTTACTCATATTTGGGTCTTCAATTTTGTTCCATTGATCGATGGGTCTATTTTTCTGCCACTACCATGCTGTTTTTATGACTATACCTCTGTTATACAGCTTAACATCTGGTATAATAATCCCCCCCGGCATTGCTCTTAGTGCTCAGGGTTGCTTTGGCTACCTGAGGTCTTTTGTGCTTCCATATGAATCTTGGGATGTTTTTTTCCAATTCTGTGAAAAATGTCATGGGAATTTTGATTGGCATTGCATTGAATCTATAGATGACTTTTGGTAGGATGGTCATTTTCACAATATTAATTCTTCCAATCCATGAGCATGGGAGGTACTTCCATCTTCTGATGTCTTCCTCAATTTCTTTCTTTAAAGAGTTAAAATTTTCCTTGTAGAGTTCTTTAATGTCTTTGGTCAGGTTTATTCCAAGGTATTTTATTTTTTTGTGGCTATTGTGAATGGGAGGGTTTCCCTGTGCTCTTTCTCTGACTGCTTGTCATTGGTATATAGAAAGGCTATAGACTTTTGTAGGTTAATTTTGTAACCTGCCACTTTACTGAATGTGTTAATAATTTCTAGGAGTTTGCGCGTGGAATTTTTGGCGTCCCTTAGATATATTATCATATCATTTGCAAAAAGGGATAATTTGATCTCTCCTTTTCCAATTATTACTCCTTTAATTTCCTGCTCATCTTATTGCTCTTCTAAGAGTTTCAAGCACTATGTTAAAAAGAAGTGGAGATAGTGCACAGCCTTGTCTGGTTCCTGATTTCAATGGGAATGCTTCCAGGTTTTCTCCATTTAGAATGATGTTGGCTGTGGGTTTGTTATATATGGCTTTAATTATGTTGAGGTATGTTCCCTCCAGTCCAATTCTCTCTAGGACTTTGAACATAAATGCATGTTGAATTTTGTCAAAGGCCTCTGCATCTATTGAGATGACCATGTGGCTGTCTTTGAGCCCATTTATATGATTTGTGACATTTATTAATTTACATATATGGAACCACCCATGTATCTCTGGGATAAAGCCGACTTGATCATAGGGGATTATGATCTTTTTGATGTGTGTCTGTATGCAGTTTGCAAGTATCTTGTTGAGAATTTTTACATCTATGTTCATTAAGGACATAGATCTCTATGGGTCTATTCTTTTTTGGTTGTATCTTTAGCTGGCTTTGGTAGTAGAGTGATGCTGGCTTCACAGAAGGAATTTCGAAGTTCTCCCTCTATTTCTATCTTTTTTTGAGTAAATTAAGTAGTATTGGATGCAGATCTTCTTTAAATGTCTGATA